AATGGGCGACTTCAATGCTCAAGTCGGAGCGAAACAATGCATGGAGGAATACGTCCTGGGGAACTTTGGCCAAGGAAGAAGAAGTCGCCATGGTGAATTGCTAGTCGAATTCTTGCTACAACACAACCTAACGCTCTTGAACAGTTTTTACAAAAAAAAACCAAAAGAACAAGTGGACATGGATATCCCCGGATGGCAATACCAGAAACGAAATTGACTACATAACAACAAACTATCTAAAGACTTTCACAGATACGTCGGTCTTAACTAAATTCAACTTCAATACAAACCATCGTATGGTAAGAAGCAACATAAGAACAGAAACATCAAAGAAATCTAGAAAGTATTTTGCCTCACACTTTATAAGACACCACAGTGACGAAACCTTAAAGAAACTAAAACAATCTTTAATTGAATCAGCAGAAGAATTGACTATGAGTAACATTGATGCCCACACAAAATATGAAAAGCTGGAAAATCTACTAACTCAAGTAAAACATGATACTAGCAGGGGAAACAAGTACAAACTTAGTGATACAACGCTACAACTTATAGAAAAAAGAAAAAATCTAATTTCAAAACACCCTAAAAAAGATCACATAAAAGCAATTACGAAATTAAGTAAAGAGATTAGAGAAAATATAAGAAAAGACAGAAAGACCAAGAGGCTGCAAACATTAGAAAAGCATATAGCGAAAACAGGAGGAGTGAAAAAAGCGCTTAAAGAACGTAGAGAATCAAATAAAGAATGGATACCAAAACTAAACAAAAAGGAGAATACCTCATCCAATAGAAAAAACATAAACGAAATAGCCACAAAGTTTTACCAGTACCTTTACTCAAATCCTGACAGAAAACAAAAACACGATTCGAGGACAGACACCAGTAATAACCAGGAAAAAGTGATAACTGAACCAAAAATACTTCCCAGAGAAGTAGAAAAGGCTATTTATAGTCAGAAGATGCAAAAAGCTCCAGGTCCAGACAAAGTGACAAACGAACTTATTAAAGGCACCCTTGAAGAACTACTGCCAATACTCACTTCATTATTCAATGAAATACTATCAACGGGTCTAATCCCTACTAAATGGAAAACATCAAACATTATATTTATATTCAAGAAAGGAAATAAGGAAGATATAGGAAACTACAGACCTATAAGCCTGATGTCAAATATTTACAAGGTATTTTCTAAAGTTATCCTGGAAAGAATAAGCAAAAAGTTAGACGAAAACCAACCACGGGAGCAAGCAGGCTTTAGACATAATTACTCCACTCTGGACCACATACACACAGTGAAACAAATTGTAGAAAAATATAATGAGTTTAATAAAAAACTCTATATGGCATTCATCGATTACTCTAAAGCTTTTGACAGCATAAGGCACACAGCCATATGGGAAAGCCTAGAACAGCAGGGGATACCTTTAAATTATATCAATATTATAAAGAACATATACTTGAACGGCGAAGCGAGGATCCAACTAGAAACCTTGGGAAAAAACTTCAAGATCGAGAGGGGAGTAAGACAGGGAGATCCTCTTTCGCCAAAACTGTTCTCGGCTGCTCTGGAAAGTATCTTCCGCAAACTAGACTGGGAAGAATACGGTCTCAATGTGCAGGGTGTGAAACTGAACCACCTAAGATTTGCAGATGATATAGTCTTATTTGAGGAAAATCCGACGCATCTTGTTAAAATGATAGAATCACTAAATGAAGAAAGCCTGAAAGTGGGCCTAAGCATGAACAAAAACAAAACAAAACTGCTTACAAACTCTAAAAAAGTAATTATAAAAATTGACAACCAACCACTCGAATATGTGTCAGACTATATCAACTTAGGACAGATAATATCGCACAAAGATCAAACCACTAAGGAAATTGAGCGAAGAATAGGAAATGGATGGAAGAAATACTGGTCTTTGAAAGAAGTTTTAAAATCTAAGGAGCTAAGTATGCAAATAAAAAGGAAAGTTTTCAACACATGTATACTTCCAGTCATTACTTACAGATGCGAAACCTGGGCACTCACCAAATACCACAGAGAAAAGTTGGAACGCTGTCAGAGAGCCATGGAGAGAAGTTTGACAGGAATAAGGAAACAGGACAGAGTAAGATGTAGGATAATAAGAGATAAAACCAAAGTTGTCGATATAATAACCCGAATAGACCAACAAAAGTGGAGATGGACAGGTCACATGATGCGTGATCCACAAGAGAAGTGGTGCAAAACTGTTACTGACTGGTATCCCAGAGATGGCAAAAGAAGTAGAGGACGCCAACAAATAAGATGGGAAGATGACTTAAAACTCACGGCTGGACATCATTGGAGAAGGGTAACGTGGGACAGGTCCCAGTGGAAAATGTTAGAGGAGGCCTATGCCAAAAGGCAAACTGAGCTTCGGGACATATTATAACAAACAAGAACATGTATTCATATTTAACCAAGAAATTCAGAATAAAAAAAAGGCTTATTATTATTATTATTATTATATAAAATGTTATTTACCATCAATCTCCAAAGCTGCTCTAAAATGAAACTATTCTTCTTAACTCTAATTTCCTGTTGATGTTGATGTTGAAGGACGATTTTTCACTGGAATAACATAATAATATATTTTAGACATTGAAATTGATAAAATTTATAAAGTAAATAAAATCAAGTAATAGCCTTATCTACATACTGGTATTCAAATCGATACATTTCGCATTTTTTTGAACACGTCTCAAAATTATTTCTGGCAGAATACAGTTCTTAAATAAGTTTAATAATTTTGGTATCATATTGTTGATAAATTCATTATCTCGGCAAACTTCTATCACAGTCAAAGGTTCAGTGACTGAAATAAAACATATGAAGTAGCACTTATGCATTTTGCTGACACGCATTTGTCCTTGAACCTGAAATAGGTTTTAATTGTAATAAGAGAAAACAAGATACTGAAATAAATTATAATGTGGACATGCAATAGAATTTTCAATTTACTTGATAGTAATAATCATGCTTTTTATTCATCACTAAAACATTATTATTCAGTTTTAGAGCAAAGTTTTTCTTTTCTAATGCAGCTGTCTCTAGGCTTTGATTTTTCCTGGCCAATGATGGAAAGCATTTGATCTCAACAACAGCTCTCTCATTTTCAATTATACCTGTATCAAATTGACATGAAATATAAAACAATGAAATGTAGCTCTTTATGAGATTTTAAATTCAATCGCCTCTCGTGCTCGTAATCCTTTGTTTCTTGCGATTATAACTAGTATTATGATTGGCCACATTTGCCAAATACATAGATAAAATTTAAGTTTGATACAGAAAAACTTACCATCTGGACTGCCAGCTAAACATCCAAATTCTTCATCAATAAAAAGGCCTGAAGGCCTGAAAATTTTATTATATTGTTGCATGAACATACTTTTTGCTACATTCTCATTTTACTGCCCATATAACATGTCTTTTGTACAAATATTATTTTTATATAGAATATCCTTTACATGATTGTGACATGGAGTGGTAATACGGCGTTTGCAAACCTGTAAAGATAAAAATACCAGATCAAATAAATGTCAAAATTGTCTACATAGGTATTTCATAAAATACTGCAATTTTACCAGAAATGTATGTAGACATTTCTGCTAACATAATTATACCACACAACTAACCATTCCAAATTGACTAGCAGTCAAACGGTCACACCTATGAGTAGTATATAAATAATTTTCATGCTGCCCTACAGTAGACATTTCAATCAAAGCTATGTTGTCTGGTGACTTTTGGAATTCTGCTAACCTTTCTTCACACTGAGTTCTCAACTGTGCTTCGTCAGTATAAATAGGATCACAAGCTTCAGGTTCATAGTGCTTATCCGGCTGGGTTTTCTCTCTTGGTGCAAACAATCGTTTGCGTGTCGACGATTGCTGTCGTTTTCTGCTTTGTTCCTTCCGTTTTATGTATTTTTTTAAATATGTCCCTGGGCTCTGTGTGGTATGCTTTTTCCATGCAGTTTCATGTCATTTGTGGCCAGTAGCAAGCGATAATCCTGAAATATTTTTTTAAGTGGGTGATATTTCAACAAAAAGACCGCTTTGCGCCGACCCCAAATAATTTTGGATAAGGACAAGAGGACGGTGATATTCCATAGAATTAGTCACAAAATTAGTGAAGTATGCATCATGATAATCAAAGCATTTCTTACCAGTTCTAACAATCTAAATGTTTATATTTACCTGCCACATGAACACGTCGCTGGTAAGAACCCCCTCTTCCTAAACTAATTCGTTTTCCACAGTTTAATTTATTTATTATGCTCATAAAGTTTTCTGCCACATTTGTTGTCTCATTTGACAAACAGCCTGCCTTCAAAGCAATTTTTTCATTAGCTGCAGAAATCAGCGCCCACACCTCTGGAGCAGTATTTTTCAGTCTTTCTACGAGATTTTCTTCGTACTTTTCACTTCCATTTGCAAATGTTTTATTGTCATTGCAGTAATAATCCTTGCAGTTTTCATGTACTCCGAATACATGTAGTGGGCCATTTTTCAAATCTGCTGCCATACCTGCATGCTCACTGCTACACATTATAATTTTCCGTGCTACTAGTGTAAGCTTCGTCACCTTTGGCTTCAAAATATTTCGTCCATAAAGAGGAAGCTTGGTGTTGGCCAAGATCTAAAAAAAGTACAAATATAAAAACAGAATAATATGCTTCACTGATCTTAAGATGACTATATGTAATATACAAATTTGATTTATTCATTTACTTTGTAGAGTGCACTGGTATAATTTTTGACTACATGATTCTTGCATTCAATTTTTTTTATTATGTTCCCATATGAGACTTTCTCTTTCAAGTTTGCAAACATAGAGGAATCTTCATCTCCAATAAAACTCAAATAGCGAAGTTGATGTATTTCTTCACTCTTTTGAAAGCCTTCCACAATAATATCTGATTCCATTGCTGTAGACGGCCCAGTAAAATTTTTGCAGCAATTATGTGCTTTCATATCCTTGTTTCTCCTCTCATAATATTATAACAATATTTATTTCTAACACCAAGATATAGACATTTCTTTGTTTCTTTACCAATAATGCAGGCCTAGAAATAAAAAGCGACACTTGTAAATATTGCACATACTAAAAATGTCATAAAGAACCAAGTTTGTGTTTAGTAAAATATTAACTTACCATACCTGATGATGAATCAAAGTTATGTCCGTATGACCTTTTCAATCTTCCTCCATCTACATATACAATAATAAACGGAACACCGTCTGAAGACACGTGACCTTTTTGAATAGCAATTGATCTTTCTTGTTCACCAGCAGTTTTAATTTCCTCTGTCAAATGCTCAAACCACACACTGCCTAATTTTTTTTCATCACGGCGAAATTTATTAGCTGACTTTGTTGGAATATCCATAAGACTTGTTAAGTGAGCTGCTTGAGTGTAGAAGCTACCAGAAGTAACAGTTGCCCACACAAATGCAGTATTTATTTTATCACTGCTCTCCGTACAATGCTTCCACGCTTTATCACACATACTGCACTTGAAAATTAGTTCACTTCGAAATCCATCAAGCCTTTCACTAACAAATTCAATTTGTGAAAATACGCACTTATTTCGATGTCTTTCCAAAAGGAATGCCAACTTCAGGTCCACAATGCGATACCCAGATATCCCAGATTCCCACGCGCGCCTCAAAGAGTTGTCAGCAGCGTGAAGGGGCCCGCAAGGGCCGACGCCTGCCGGGGCTGCGGGCTGTTCGAAAGAGATACCGCGGCTCCGGAACGTAAGGGCACTGAAGGAACACGGATGGTTTCTTATTTTCCATCCGCAAAAAAAAAAGATATCCCAGATAAACATTTATTTGGAACAGTTTCCATATTCAATTGAAATGAATCAGTTTCAGGATTAGCTAGTGGCCAATTAATCTCTAAAGGTTCAACCACAGGTTCAGCTGTCACTGTGCTAGTACTAGCACTATAGGTGGCCTCAAAGCGGATTTTCGGTTTTACACGCGCATATGTTCTTGGTTTTGTATTTTGGATACTGAAAGAAACAAATTAAATTGTGATGACCTTAATATATCCTATACCTACATAAATGTAGTGTAACTTTTACGAGCAGCAAGTACAAACAATAAAACATACATTATAGAGTTATCAACGACGATTTTTTCATTCACTGGCTTCTTCTTCGTTTCTTCAGAACGCCAAATTTGCAGACGGCTGTAATTCGATTTACGAATGTAAACTTTCATCAACAGACAATGTAGACAGGTAGGTACTTACAAATAGTAACCGTTATTCAGTAGTGATTTTATGAAATCCCCTCCAAACTTGGCCATGGTTACGAAGAAGCCGAATACAGAAAAAAACATGTTTACTTACCTCTCTTCGTCGTAATGTCGTCTTAGTCCAGCTTTAACTCTTTAACTTTAACAGACATTGTAGACGTAATCTAAGTCTGAAATATAGAAAAACAAATGGAAATAAATGAATATGTTTTGTACACTCAGTATTTGAATAAAAATTTAGTATCGAATTCACAACCATATATTGAAAGAGATCGCAGGTCATCAGAAAGATAATCCAGATCATATATACACAGTAATCTGTGGATAATTCTTTCTATTGGGTTGCGTTCGGAAAAGTAAGTTTAGAACAATAAAATGTAACAGTAAAATTTTTCTTACCTTTTTTAAATCAATGTTATCTTATTCCTGGTAGAACATTGGTCGACGAATAACAAAAAATAAATCAGATTATTTATAAACAATAAATTACATCTATTTGATTGTAAGCAAGGAACAGAAGAACGGAGTTGTAAGTAACTGAATTATGTATGTTTCTGAACGAACCAGGATCGTATAAAACGATACGACGCGCCCTTGAGCTTGGTAGGTACTACAACAAAATAAAACAAACTTGTAATAATGTGTGTCTGTCTGAAACTGTTTGCAAAATGCGTAATAGATATTTTATCTATATTTTGCAAATGTTTGCAAAATTAATTTTGTGACTACTTTGGTGGCTTACCGATTTATAATTTTATTTATTGTTGACCAAAAACGTATTCAAACAAATTAAAATACGAAATACTGCTTTTGTAGTTTTGTACTCAACACCGACACATATGACGAAGGTAATTAATTAGTATTGAGACGAGATTTGAAATCAAATGCAAAGTTACTGTTTTTAATACCACCGAAAAAAAAAATTGCATATTTTGAATAATTAATTACTATACCTACAATAAATTACAATATTTTCTATTATATTGGAATCAAATACGTAATAGAAATAATGCAAATTGAATTAATGAAAGTCAAACAAAAATATATAACACGCAAGAAATTCCGGGCGCATATCCTATCGCGTGACAATCGAGAATTACTTCAGAATTAGCATGAGACCGATATATCAAAACGTAACTAATAACGTTAAGTTATCAAATATCATATCATATCGATAAACCTAAGTACATAACACCGTTATCACATATCCAACCAAAACCAACTAACCAACGTACGAAACGTACGAGGGCTACACTGAAAATTTGTAGAACTGGCCACTTGTAAACGATCTAATAAAAAAACATGCGTAAGTGTCGTGGAACACTCGGTTGGAACAAAGTTCCTTTCGTAGTATATTATTATTGATAAACGTATTATATTATTGATTAACAAATACAAACAAATAAATAATACAAATAAAAAATTTTTGCACACTGACAATAGGGGTAGTGACGAAAAAATCTTACACTTTTTGTCGCCTAGCTCCCATCCGCCAAACCCGTACCGTCCGATAAGGAACTTCGTTCCAAAAAAAAAGTTCAAATTATGAAAATGGAACTCTTTGACAATATTATTGTGTATGTATTTTATTAATTTGTCATTTGTTTACAATTTGGCGGCAAATTGAAAATTGTCTATGTCACGTCAGTATGAATTTAAGAGGCGTATTACAAAAAAACGCGAATTTACAAGGTTTTCTCGTTGAAATTGTATGTTTATCGTTCGTTCCTTGAAATAACAATTACTTGGTAAAAATAGTTCGTTTTATCTTCTCAAATAAGCTCAAAGCGAATTTTAGATAACTTATTTATTTATTCAGTAATAATCATTCTCCCGATGCATGTTTAGGCAAAAACTCTCGAAGGCATGATTTGGGAGCTCTAATTTGAAGATTCTATTGAATATCGACCATCAAAAAAATATTTTTATCTTCCAAATATCCTATACTTTAATAATTATAGAATACATTTTCGTTATGCCTTTCACGCTAGGAAAAAAAATCGACATAATTCAAAAAACGACCGAAAAAGCTTCGATACAAGCCTCTATATTTCCGAAGTTCTACATCATTTAGACGTAAAATTTATACCGAAATAATCATCAACATTTGCTTAAACTATACTATTATTCTTACTTTTTAAATCGTTACTATTATATTTTAATTAATTAAATAATAGTACCATATATTTCACTGCACCGGCCATCCGTGCTCACTACCGCGCACAGAGTACATTGTATATAGGGAATAGTGTCATCACTTAGAATCGTAGCATTAGCGCCATCTATCGATATACGACGTCCCTACAGCCCAGCGACGACGTAGGATGCTCTATATTACAATATTTATTATTTATTTTCAAAGTAATTTCCAAAAGTAAAACCATTTTAATATTGATTTGGCTTTTGGAAATTACTTTGTATACAATATAATTTAGGCAAATAAAACTACTGTTTAGCGGTTGGATGATGCTTTTTTATAATGCTTCCTTTTATTATAATAGTACACAACAACTTCTCTAAAAAGAAGCCACAATTCAGGTCAACAGAGCACAAATAGTTAAGCAAATCAGGGTCCAGAGTTTCATGCGTAAGTGCAACGAAAAAGGCGAAGTCTTCGGAGTCCGGGGATCAAGCAAAGTTGTTAAAGTCTTATAAACACAAACAGAGCACATTCACAAACCACGAAAGGAAATATAATGACAAACAGACAAATTAAATTACGTTAAATGAAGTTACTAGTTTTACACTCACACAAACTACTAGTTTTAGTTTCTTTTGTTTTTAATTATTGTATTTGTATGTATAAAATAAAATTAAATATAAATGACATTTGTGTAGTGGCGGTTAAGAATATCCACTACCCCATATCTTCCCGTGGGTGTCGTAAAAGGCGACAAAGGGAAACAGGCAGGAGATGGGCAGCAGCATCTTCCTGATAGTAGCCAAAATAACAATAAAAAAACTGCGGTTGCCAACCCGCTCGCCAAGCGTGGCAACTATGGCAATATACCCCCCATGAGCAATGACAATAATAAACGGCCCCCAGTCCCCGGTGGCCCCGCTATTCCTGGCTACGGTGGCGGCCATGGTAACGGCGGGGCAGGGGGTGCTAAGAATCTCCGGTGGAGGTTCGGTTGCCACCTACGACGACTCGACCTGGCAACATACAACGCACGCACCCTGAGGATTGACGAGAAGATTGTGGAGCTGGAAGAAGAGATAGACAAGTTACGCTGGCATATTATAGGATTATCCGAAGTCCGAAGAGAGGGGGAGGACACAGTAATCCTCGAATCCGGCAACTTGCTCTATTACCGGGAGGGCGACCATCTGTCCCAAGGAGGTGTCGGATTTATCGTCCACAAGTCTCTCGTTAACAACGTTGTAAAGATTGAGAGTGTGTCGACGAGGGTTGCGTACCTTATACTCAGAATCACCAAACGGTATTCGCTGAAGGTCATACAGGTTTACGCACCAACCTCGGCACACCCCGATCAGGAGGTGGAGGAAATGTATGAGGATATCTCTAGAGCCATGCATTCCTCCAAAACCCAATATACGGTGTTAATGGGAGACTTCAATGCAAAACTAGGCACAAGAGAGAACGGTGAGCTGAAAGTAGGGAAATTTGGAATAGGGCAACGGAACCCAAGGGGCCAGCAGCTGGCCGACTTCATGGAGAAAGAGGGACTCTTTATGATGAACTCTTTCTTCCAGAAGCGGCCCCACAGGAAGTGGACCTGGTCGAGCCCCGACGGTTCGACAAAAAATGAGATTGACTTCATTATGACGACCAGACGACAACTGTTCAGTGATGTCTCAGTGATCGCGAGGGTGAAAACCGGCAGCGATCACCGAATGGTTAGAGGCACACTGAACCTAAACGTTAAGTTGGAGAGGTCTCGTCTAATGAAGTCAACGCTCCGTCCCCCTCGTGCTCTAATCCAAAGTCCCGAAACCTTTCAGCTCGAGTTACAAAACCGTTTTCAGTGCCTAGAAGACTGCAATGAAGTGGACGAGTTGAATGACAAGCTCGTGGAAACTGTCCATGCGGTCGGAGCTAAGTTCTGCAAGACCCGCCGCAGAAGAACACAAAAACTCTCCGATCACACTCTTAATCTCATGGCTGTTAGACGGGAGATGAAGCTACATTCTTCAACAGATTTAACAGCATACAGGCAACTGAACAGACAGATCTCCAAATGCATGCGGCGGGACTTACGCAAATTCAATACAGCTCGTA